CGTGCGAACTTGAAGGGTGGGTGGGTGGATAGTTGAATCCGAACCGCCCCTTGTAGGGGCTGCTTTTCCAAACGGCTGGGGGTCGTGACAGGACTCGCCTTCCCTCTCAGGCCTTCATTCATGTCCCCTCAGAATTTGCCCGCAATCCTCACAGGAGGAGGTGGGAGAAGCAGGGATTTAGTGCTGCAAACCATCCCTGCTTTCAGACCAAAAAATATCTGAATATCTGGGTGTTGGTTTTTCCACCGGCTATTAAGATATTTCCAAAAGTCCGGCTTCTCTGTGGTTGGCAAGCACCCAATCCTGAGGCCTGCACTTGTGTGCCTTTCTAAGGACATGGCTAGGGGCCTCTTTGTCATTTGCACTTCCAAATTCGACTCTTTACCTCCGCCCGTCCTCGATTTTAGTTTTCTCAACCAGAATTATCCTGTAGGCCTCTGAAACCAGAAGGTTTCCTACCAAAACTGTTGTCTGTGATGTGTTTGTGTTGGGGATTGCAAGTGTGTTTGAAGTGAAAGTAGGGCAAGGAGCAGGACTTTTTCACTAAAGTCTTCTCATGCATGGAGTGAGAAATACTATTCAGGTGGATTCCAAAAAATAAACATATATGATAAATATATATACTTGCTGCTGGAGTGAACCAAAGAGTTCCAGGGGATAATCAGATGGTGCTTTACACATCAGAGCAAAGCCTTGGACTATGGAGATCACGGAGAGCTATGGATCTTTCTAAAAGAAATGGGTGTGATGCAACATACAGCAACCACAAGAAGATGGCATGGCTGTATTTGAATAAATACAGATGGTTGTACATGAAAAACATAAAACATTCCCTGAAAAATAAACCCTAATTGTGTTCTTTGGAGAAAAAAAATTAATATAAGATCCTGTCTTATTTTTAGGGAAACATGGTATTAGGGCAGAATATGTCAACACAGAATAGCTTCCAAAATTGAAAGGTGTCTTAGGATGTCTTATTTTGGGGGAAACATGGTATTAGGGCTGAATATGGCAACGCAGAATAGCTTCCAAAATTCAAAGGTGTCTTAGGGGCTTATTTTATCTCACCAAGCTGTTCAATTTATAAGCTGAACAATTTATACAAAAAGCTGGGCTGATTTCAGATGAAAGAGGAGTGAAAGCTGGCAGAGCAAATATCAGTAAATCAAGATACACAAGGAAGGAAGTGAAAAAGCAGGATTACAGCTCAACATTTGTATTAAGTTCTTTAAAATGTCTTCCAGTATATGTTGACCATATCAGTTAATGTATAATTATTTGTCATCAAGTCTATCCCAGCTAATGGTGACCTTTCCTAGGGTTTTCTAGGTAGAGAATACTCAAAAATGGTTTACCATTCCCTTCTTCTGAGGGCACCTTGGAATTGCGCAGTTTGCTCATGGCTACCTAGGCTGGCTTTTCTCCCAGGAGAAAAGGAGTGAGGAAGTGAACTCCCAGGTTCTTCTGGCTCCACAGCCACATATTTAAACCACTGACCAGTCTAGCAAGTTACCAGATCAATTAGTGACGTCTGAAAGATCCTGTCATTAACAGTCCTGTTCAGGTGTTGCAAAATAACAATCACTGCTTGCAAAATAACAATCACGGCTTCCTGTACTGAGTCCATCTCATGTTTGGTCTTTTCTCTTTTCCTGCTGCCTTAAACCTTCCCTAGCATAATTGTGTTTTTCGGTAAAAATTGTCTTCTCATGATACGCTGAAAGTATGTGAGCCACAAATCAGTTACTGTATTTTTTTTATAAGGATTACCTAAAGGCAATAGGAATTCCTTGCTATGTTTCAGAGATGGAAGACTGAAAATAAAGGAAAACATTATTTGAGTATACTTTATAGTAGTGGCAGGAATACAGCAGACATGCACTTGGGGAAGGGTCTGTGTTCTAATGGGTCGCCAAATAAAATAGATTTTAAAGCTTGATTTCAGGGGGAAAAACAGCAAGAAACGCCTGCTTCTACGGTTGAGAAGAGGGGGAAAATGGGTGCAAAGCCTTGACTAGAAGTATTTTAGGGCATATCCTGAGGCTACTCATGACAGGAATGAAATCCCCCAGTACAGTACATGAGCCAGTCCTTATCCATTTAGTTGTGTTAACTAATTTAAGTCAAACATATGGAAACTAGAGAATGTCGGCACAAGAGGTGTTAACTAATTTAAGTCAAACATATGGAAGCTAGAGGTCGGCACAAGAGGAATACTTATAGTGGACCCTTGACTTACAGACTTTTCGAGTTACAGACTTCTCTGGCTGCAAAATTTAGCCAGAGAATCGACCTACAGACCAGAAAAAAACCCCAAAATGGAACAAAAAAGGCCGGTTATGGCATTAATCGGTTTTCAATGCATTGTAGGTCAATGGAGACTCAACCTACATAGTTTTCGACCTGCAGCCACCGTTCCAATACGAATTAATTCCGTAAGTAGAGGATCCACTGTATTTTGGACTGCTAGAAGCTATTCCAAATATAATGGCATAGATATTTTCACCAAAATGTTTGTTATGCCAACTTTCTTGATGCAATAATAATGGTTTAATACGATCAGTTTTATAATCTCTAAATTGGGGAACTACTAAAGATGTTCTGTAACATTCTATAATACCCTGACTGGAATGCATTTAAGAAAACAAAGGGGATATTGGGTGATATTGTAGGACTAGATTCTTCTGAGTAGCAAAACTATTTTATTCGTATCTGTTCACTGATTTCAGTAAGACTCATGTTGAGGTAACTTGTGTACAAGAGAACTGTAATCTTAACAATGCAGTTTTGTGGTTTCCCAGCAATTCTTGCTTTGGCAGTAGTCATGGAAGAAAGAGATAGTAAGAGAAAGTAGAGCATTAATTGAAAAAGAGAGAGTCAGAGTCCAAGGTACAGGAGTAACTTCTCTGAAAGAAAGTAGAGCATTAATTGAAAAAGAGAGTCAGAGTCCAAGGTACATGAGTAACTTCTCTGAAGTCAGCAATTCCTGTGTCCGCACCCCCCAGCCATTTATTCTTGTATGAGAAGGCAGACAATGAACTTTAGCTTCATTTATGGCAAGGTGTTAACAGCTGTGGCCTTCAAAGACTGTGACACGGTTTTCATGAACCTGAACAACACACTTCTCCCTTGAATTGCATGGGCTTGAGGAGCATGGTTTTGGTGGCATATGGATTTTTATAAATAAATATTTAGTAAATATTGTGCTGTTATTTGTCTCCAGGCAGTGTACTGAAAAAGGTAAGATGTTGGTGCAGCAGCCGGCGGCAGTCTAACTGTCCTTCTCTCTGGGCATGGCAGCTCCATACCATGTTCGGGAAGGCTGCTGGGGCATGCTGGGAGGCTGACACAGGTAGAGGAAGGTCACAGCAGCGCACTGCTCCATGGAGGTGGGAGAAGGAGAAGAAATGTAAAAGTTCCAAAAAGTTCCATTTGTTCTGAAGAAAAAAAATCCTTTTTAAATTTTTTTTTCTTGGACGAAGTAGAACATTTAAGGCAAAAAAAATCCCCCCCCAGGAAAAAAATGGAAAATTTCAGAAAGTTTACATCTCTACTCTTCCTCCCACCTCAATGGAGCAGCGCACTGCTGTGAGAGGACATCGTGCCTTCATTTCCCCACTCCGATAGAGGCTCCAGTTATGTTTGGGGGCATAAGAGTTAAACACAGACTTTGAACTACACGGGAGTCTGGTGCCTCTAGCCCCAGCATTGCTGAAGGGAGAAGTGTAATTATAAACATGGTTAACAATGTTTTTTCTTTATCAAATTATCTTTTCATCTTAGCTGCTATCCAGATTAGTTTATTTTACAATCCTATGCATGTTAATTTTAAAGTAAGTCCAACTGCGTGAAGTGGCGCTTATTGCTTACCTTACTGCAGTGATAAGACTTCCAGGTCTCGACATACATTGAAAATATTAGAAACCACTGCATCAGTGAAACATAGTAAGGTAAAGATTGCCCTTGACATTTAGGCCAGTCGTGTCCGACTCTAGGGACTCATCCCCGTTTCCAAGCCATAGAGCCAGCGTTTGTCCGAAGACAGTTTCTGTTGTCATGTGGCTAGCGTGACTAGGGAACGCCATTTTACCTTCCCACCGAGCTGGTACCTATTTATCTACTTGCATTTACATGCTTTCGAGCTGTTAGGTTGGCGGGAGCTGGGACAAGCGACGGGAGCTCACTCCGTCGCATGGATTCGATCTTATGACTGCTTGATTTTAGTGGTCAACAAACAAGTTAGTCTGGTGAAAGGTTCCTTCCTCCCATAATTCCATGTATTAGATTTGCACGATACAACTTTAAGATACTGAAATAATCAGAGATTTTGTATACAGTACTTTGGTCAATCCAGTTGGAGACTGCAGCCGAGAAATCAGAAGACTGGTTCTCTAAAGGGAAGCAATGAAGGAACTAGAAAAGACCATCCAGGATAAAGAGGTGTCACTGGAGATCAAGTCCTAGATTATCCACATTCTTATATGCATTTTTCCCTTCTCCAGTTTGAAAGCTGGACAGTTAAGAAAGTGGATAGGAAAAATAATTGATTTGTTTGAAATTTAGTGCCGGAGGAAAGCTTTACAGATACCCTAGAGTCTAGACAAAGACATGGGACCTAGATCATATCAGGCCTGAACTGTCTCTGGAAGTAAAAAGGTTGAAACTGAGGTTGCCCTACTTTCGGCACATCATGAGAAAGCAAGATTCTTGGGGAAAAAAATACAATCATGCTGGGAAAGGTTGGAGGCAGTAGGAAAAGAGGAAGACCAAATATGAGATGGACTGACTCAGTAAAGGAAGCCACAGGCTTGAGTTTGCAAGAGCTCAGCAGGGCTGTTCTGGGGTTGCGAGGGCGATTTGGGCACACAATAACAATTACTGTATTTCCATGCAAGATTGCTGGTTTGCCAGCAGGATGTTAGGGAAGTGCGCTGGGCATGCGGCAAAGCCAGTCTTGCGTCGTGCTAAGCCAGGGGTGCTCTCGAAAACAAAATTCATCTCAATCATTTGTGATGACTTCTGTATACAGTGGGGGCTTGACTTGAGAACTTAATCCGTATTGGAAGGCGGTTCTCAAGTCAAAAAGTCTGTAAGTCAAGTCTCCATTGACCTACAGTGCATTGAAAACCGATTAATCCCGTAACAGGCCGTTTTTGTTCCATTTTGGTTTTTTTCTGGTCTGTAAGTCAATTCTCAGGCTGCAAGTCAAACCTAAATTTTGCGGCCAGAGAAGTCTGTAACTCAAAAAGTCTGTAAGTCAAGCCGTCTGTAAGTCAAGGGTCCACTGTACAGAACAGGGGCGACTGCTCTGCGGTGGCCCCGGTTAGCCTTTCCAGGAAACGACCAGCCCTCCACCACCCTTTCCCACGAATCTCTCCCGACGTTGTCAAGTCATCCTGAGAATCACAGGACACCCGTGAGCGAATAATAGGAAGGAAGAGCTCGCGGTCGTTCCGAGATGACCGCCGGCAGGCGCAAGGGCAGCCCCTAAGAAGTCCTGCCCTGACGCCCGCGATTCGCGTTGGAAGCGCGCTTGTCTGAACGGGGCGGAAAGGGGGAGAGCTTTGGCTGGGAGGGAGGGAAACCAGGCTGCTTCTGGATCCGGCCTCGAGGGGGGGGGAGAAGGAGTTAAAAGGGCGGAGCGGCCGAGGAGAAAGGCCCGCCAGCGGGGACGCTGTGCTCGGGAGAGACACGCCGCCGCCTCCTTCTCCTCGCCAAGACGCGCAGGGAGGAGACGGCCTTTGCGCCCTTTGGAGGCACCCAGGGAGAGCCGTTGGGTGGAGAGGGGCGCCCTGCCCCGCCGCCGCAGCAGCCTCGGCGACCATGGAGAAGCTCTTGACGTTGGCCTTCCACCTCCTGGGCGCCTGGTTCGCCCTGGTCTTCCTGCTGATCGTGCTCCCGTCCCTGTTCGGCATCTCTTTGGGCATCTCGGAGCTGTACCTTAAAGCTTTGGTGAAGACCTGGGAGGTGAGTGTGTGTGTGTGTGTTTTTTTTGGGGGGGGGCTCGGTCCGATCTGCTGGGGGCTACTCACAGATCGGGGTGTGTGGATTCTAAGCCAGAAGATGCGTGTGTGTGAGAGAGTCAGTTTAGCGGGGTGGGAACGGGGGGGGGCATCTTGCCTTTTGCGCCCTCTCGTCCGGGCGTGCCGATGCGTGCGCCTTTTGGCACCGTTAACAGCTGACCTTTCCGGCCGGCTTCAACGTGGAGGAAGGCGTGACCCTCCCTGTTTCCGCGATGCTGGTTGCTCCCGGGGAACTGGGACCGAGGGTGGGAGAGAGAAAGAGCCGCTCAGGGTTGGGAGCTGGAAAGGAACAATGGTCGCCCTCCAGACATCTCTTCCCCACCCCATCTTGGCGAGCCTAGGTTGAATCCTGTCGCGCGTTTGCGGGGCTGGCTGTCGTTCCTTCCCGACAAACGCAGCTGCGTTGCGTTTCTGCCATGGACCAACTGGATAATGGGGGTATGTGGGGGGTGGTGGAAAGCACAATATTTTTAAAAAGCTGCATGCACAGAACACGCCTGCCTTGCTTGCTTCCAGGAATGTTTTGTGTTCCGTTTGCTCTTGCGTAGGTCCTTGTCACAGCTTTAAAAAAAAATCCTGGCAAATGGCCTTTGAGGTCACGTCTTGCCCAGGGAAACTGTCCTGAAATGCTGGGTGTAAAAATAAACCTGAAAGACATTCGTCTCCAAAGGCCCTAGCACAAATAAGAGGATTTGAGATCAGATCCGGCCTGAACTCTCACTAGAGGCTAAAATAATTAAACAGAGGCTGTTGTACTTTGGACATATCATGAGAAGATGAGACTCGCTAGAAAAGACAATAATGCTAAAGAAAGTGGAAGGCAGTAGGGAAAGAGGAAGATCTAACAAGAGGGGAATGGACTTAATAAAGGAAACCATGGTCTTGAGTGTGCATCATCAAAGCAGAGCTATTAATGATAAAACCTTTTAGAGGTGGTCACTTTGTTTAATCATTATAAAATTGGAAAAGACTTGAGAGCACATAACACATCCACCCACCATCAAATCCAACTACATTTGTAGACAATGAAGACAGGATCTTATAAATAATGTTCCCAGGGTAGTGGAATGCCGTTCTAAAAGATGATTTGTTTACCTCTGTTTTTACATTGGTGCCTCGCATTACAATGTTAATTCATTTCAGTGAAATAGCTGTAGAACGAAAACATCGTAAAGCGAAATTAAAAAGCCCATAGAAACGCATAAAAACCCACTTAATGCGTTCCTATGAGCTTGAAACTCACCATCCAGCGAAGGTCCTCCATAGCGCGGCCATTTTTGCTACCCATGCAGCGAGGACTCCATCCCAGAAAACAGCGGGTGGCCATTTTTTTTACCCGACGGCCATTTTGAAACCGCCGATCAGCTGTAGGAGAATCGTCGTTTTGCGAGAATTGGTACCCAAAGCAGGGAACCGATCACCGCAAAGCGAAATTTCCCCATAGGAAACATTGTTTTGTGATCGCTTTTGCGATCGCAAAAACTTCGTCGTTATGCGATTTCGTTATAAAATGGAGTGCCCATTAAGCGAGGCACCACTGTATAGGGTTTTGTTGTTTAGTTGTTAGAGCTTCAGACCATTTTTTGCGCTGTCCTCTTTCACCCTCATTAAGAGGTTCTTTAATTCCTCCTCAATCAGTGATATCATCTGCATATCTGAGATTGTTGATATTTCTTCCGGCAACCTTAATTCTGGCTTGTGATTCCTCCAGTCCTGCCCTTCACATGATGTACGGTATTTTGCATATAAGTTAAATAAACAAGGGCACAATTTACAGCCTTGTCATACTCCTTTCCCAATTTTGAACCAATCAATTGTTCCATATCCAGTTCTAACTGTTGCTTCCTGT